GGGAAAACCAAGGCCTGCCAATGTACCCAGTTATCAATGGCAGAGCCAGAATTCAGGGTTCTTGGACCCTAGGAAAGAGTTATTCCTAGATCTAGCAGTCTATTTTCAGCTCATATCTGAGAATTAACCTGGGGAAAGGGTCCATTTCCTTTCTCTACCTTCTGGGACACAGAATTGTAGACCAACCTATGTCTAGTTCTCTACAGGCTGAGCTAGGCCCTGTGGGAGGCAGGACCCACATAGCCATTTGGACTGAGCTTTCTGCTTGAAGGAGCCACTGATTTTGGCTGCTGTCCAGTGGGCAGGGAAACAGGCCAAGGCTACAAGTGTTGATATGGGCCTTGGGCCAGAGCCTCCAGGTTTTTTTTTCTTTTTCTAAGAGGCCCTTGGCCTCCGGTTACAGATTATCGTCATCACCAGTGCTATCTGAAGGGGGTGAGCTGAGCGAGTGAGGGCACAGTTGCCGCCCAGGTCATATGAGTGTGTTGTGCCTGTCATAGTTCCCTGCACCTCCCCGAGACCACAGTGTGAAAAGCTGTCTGAACTGAGCTTCATACATTACAAAGAGTGCTCAGTTGGACACCATATTTGTATACTGCAAATTCAGTGCATGGTGAGTCACTTTTTAAATATATTTCTTTGTTGGAGCTCAGCAGTTCCTTTATTGCCTGTTTCAAAACAAGTTGAACTTCAATTTCAACATTTGATATTTACTTTGGGAGTTCATTTTTAAGCTAGTTTGGATCAAATTGAAGGATTTCGCCGTTAGTCTTTACTCATTAGCTCACAGATCCATGCCTATCTTTTATGTCAGCTCTAAAATGAAAGATCCATTTATAATCTTTTAATAGCCCCATGGTTTCATTTCCCAGTTTAAACAAGTGCCATTGTTCAAGTACACACTGACTTCCCTGGATTCAGGGCTTGTCCAGGAAATCAGTGGGAAAGTAACACATTGAATGAGACAGGAAATTTTTTCCTGATAGTAAATTTTCTCTTGAATCTTCTGATTCAGCTTTCTCAAAGTTTACCATCTAATCCTACTTGAAGCCCACTGGTTTTTATTCCCAGCCTCACTCTGCTGTTTGAATTTCAGGGTGGGAGGCCAAGCCAGGAGTGAGGGACCTCAAAACCTGGAGTTGCCAAGGCCTCCCCGAGGTTCACGAGGATGTGGTTGAGGCTTGGGGGCTCAGACTCGCCCACATGGTTCCTTGTTGGTTTGTTTGTAACTCTGTAACTGACTGCTGGAGGCAGGGCCTTGCAGCCCTGGCAGAGGTAGGTGGCTGGACCATCTGGAAAGTCAGGCTCTGAGCCATTTCCTCCCTGAGACAGCTGCTGCTATTTGATCCTATGGCCTGTCTCTCTGAAGGGCGGGTGAGACTGCCTGAGTCTCAGAGCAGGACTATCAGCCTAGGAGCCTGCTCTGGGCTTGGCCATAGCCAGCCTAGGTCACTAGAATGCTTTCGAACAGTGAGGTCTCTTTCTTCTACCAGACCCTAACCCCACAGCAACACAACAGTGTCTGGCCTCCAAGGAAGACTACGGAGGGCAGAAAAGGGGAGTTCCCTGGCACCTAACTATACAGACCTGTCCACACATGTTGCTTCTGGGCCCTGGCAGACAAGCTAACTCATCTCCACTTCCATGTGGACCTAGCCTTGCCATGGAGTCATTTACTCTCAACACCAGCACACGCCCTGGAGACTATACGAATAAACCCTTCCTTTCAGCTGTAAGGAAGACAGGCCCACAGAGGCCATGTGAAGTGCCTGAGGTCTCAGCCAGTGAGTGGCAGCACTCGGGCTTAAAGCTAGTCCTCTGACTCAGAAGCCAGAGCTCTGAGCAATTCCAGATTTCTTCTGTGGAGGCTGGGGCTCTTCCCCTTCAGAGTGCCATGGGTTCACAGCTTCAAGGCTGGGGCAGCCTGTCACCCTGTAAACAGCTTTGGCGCTACTGAAGATTAAAACAAATTCCACGCCCCTACTCTTGCATGGGGTGTGGGACATTCATCCTTCTTCCCTTTCTACTGGCCAGTTTCCCCCTACATAAATTAGAAAAGAATAGTGAAAAAGTCTTCACAGAAATAATGGGAAGAAATGTGCTTTGAGCTGCCAGGCTGTGAGGGCAACTTGGTGATTCAAAAGCTCGGGCCATGGTCACTTAGCCTAGGCCTCACCTGAGCCTAGGGCTTAGGGTTATGTATTTCAGTTCCTCTTTAGTCCCCTGTGAATGGCAATGAGGTTAACAGTGTCTGATTCATAACAATGGTTTTGAGGATGAAATGATATCATGCACGTTGCTGATTCAGAATAAACACCCCCGGCGTGCGTGCTTAGTTGCTTCAGTCATGTCCGACACTTTGCCACCCTTTGGACTTGTAACCCACCAGGCTCCTCTGTCCACGGGATTCTCCAAGCAAGATTACTGGCATGGGTTTCCATGCCCTCCTCCAGGGGATCTCCCTGACCCAAGGATCAAACCTGTATCTCTTATGTCTCCTGCACTGGCAGGTGGTTTCTTTACCACTAGTGCCACCTGGAAAGACAAACACCCCATAGTAGTTAGCTTTTATTTCTCTTTATCAGCCTGAAAGTGTGACTTGGTGACTGTTGTTTTCTGGTCACAGTATATTTATATCATCCAGCTCTGGAGGTTTAATTACCACACATATTAGGTCTGAACTGGTTTCCCATAATTGTGCCTACAGAGAGGCAGATTTTTAAATTCCAGATAAAAAGCACAATTTTTTTGAAATTAATTTATCTGAAAGTCTTCTGCAGGTTTATTTTAGCTACTAAATCTTTTCAAAAGAGAGAGCAGTTTATGATAGAAACTGGGACAGGGTGAGTGTAGAAATTATTGCAAAGAGGGTGGTTACTGAAGAGAGGAGGAGGGAAGGCCAGGGCAAGGGGGTGTGGGGAACAGTCATATCTGAGGAGTCTGAATGGGAGGGAGAGATGGCTCAAATTCTCAAGAGCATCAAAGGCAGGTGAGAGTAAAGGTTACATCTGCAGGTGGATAAGTTGAGGATAGGAAGCTGGTAATGCTCTTCTTTATATGATTCTGATATTTTGTAATTTTGACAGTTGAGTATGTACATTTTTTATTTAAATTTATTTCAAATTTGATTTCTCCTTTTTAAGCTGGCTGCTGGTTGACAGATATCTCTGTAATTAACTGTGTAGTGGGGTCTGACTTAGCAACCAAGCCTTCCTCGTTAGGCTCAGGACTGTGCAGGGAGAAGGGAGCACAGGCAAGGCCTTCAGCTGGCTCAGGCCAGACTGCTCAGAGGAAAAGGAGGGTCCACATTACACCCCTGACCTAAGTGAAAAAGTCCAGAAGGCCAAGAAGAGGGGCATTTGCATTTATTTAGCTCTCACTGGAGACCTGATACACACTAGACCCATTTAATCCTTATAATAATCCTGAGAAGTGGTTATTAGCCCCATTTTCTAGTTGAGCAAACAGGCCCAGAGAGATTGAGTAACTTTCCTAAGGTCACAGCCAGGAAGAGCTTGGGTGTGTGAGTTGTTCAGTCGTGTTCAACTCTTTGCAACCCATGGACTGTAGCCTGCCAGACTCCTCTGTCCATGGAATTCTCCAGGCAAGAATACTGGAGTGGGTTGCCATTACCTTCTCCAGGGGATCTTCCCGACCCAAGGGTTGAACCCTGGTCTCCCGCACTGTGGGCAGATTCTTTACCATCTGAGCTAACTGGGAAGCCCAGCACAGCGAGGACTCAAAGCCAGTTCTATATAATGCCAAGGCTTTGCTCTTCCTGGTCTCCAGTCTATTTTCCAATCCCATAGCCATTTCAGGCTGTAGTGAAGACAAGGATAAGGTGGGTAAGCCTCTTATCCCTCTACCATTCAATGAAAACTACATAGAACTCAGATAATTCCGTTTTCATTTCTTGCATATGGGGTGGGGTGTGGCACTGACCCAAGCCTAACTTTTATTGAACTTATCATAGATTTCAGCCTCTGTGCTGAGAGGATATTTCAATCCTGTAGCCCCTTCTTCTGCCCCTACCTTTCTCTCTGTGGTTCTTCGGACTGTGGTTAGATCTGATTGGTCTATTTCATGCTGTTTAACTAAATTATATGGACTTGTTTAACTAAATTATACGTGGGGGGGTGCTCATTCCGCCCCCCACCCAGGAGCTTGAAAATAGAAGACAGGATGCTATTCTCAGTGTTACAGATGGAAAAGCAGACTGGTGGGACATCTTGCATGGTCTTAATGCTTTCTGTGTCTTCACTCGGTCCTCACAGCAACTCTAAGAAGTAGGTACGTGTATGGCTGATTAAGTTTACATGGGAGGCAGTGGACGCAAGGAGGGTCACCTAGCCAGTCAGTGGTAGAGGCGGCCAGAAGCAGGATTCCTGCCTGTGAAGCCCAAGGCCACAGCCCCTCTCTTGCCTCTGTGCCACACAGCTGGGGTCTCAGCATCAGAATATTCTTCTTCAGTTTCCTCACCTGTGACATGAGGAGGTTAAAAAGTATCTACCTCCTAGGATAGTTGTGCTCGTCCATGATTCAACGATGTTATGTGAGTACAGCTGTTACGGGGGTACCTGCGACCTGAGTGCTTAAGACATTTCAGCTGCTGCTGCTACGAGTGTTATCACTCGGGCCTGGGGTCTGTGTGGACTCTGGAGCCAGAGAGACTTGGCCTCTGCTTCTGGCTATGCACTTACACATGACTTTGTGCTCATGAGAAAGTCATTTAACATCTGAGGTGGAGATATACAATACTCACCTTCTGTGACCCATAAGTTAATACATAGGTCAGGCACGTAAACACTGTAAAGTCTGACTATCGTTATTATTTCCCCAAGGTGTCCTGGGAAATCAGTGATTTTAAGTCAAGACTTACTCCATTTCAGCTACCGGAGAACAGAAACACCAGAAGCCCTTGTGTTAGTCAAGACCCCCAGGCTTGGGAAGGGCCCACTGAGCTGCTGACGTCCCTCCCTGCTCCTTCCTCAGCACCCAGGATGGGTACCCCTGCCTCTGTGGTCAGCGAGCCACCCCCCTGGCGAGCCCCGCCGGAGGCCCGGGGCCGCAAGCAGGCCGCGGCCAACATCTTCCAGGATGCCGAGCTGCTGCAGATCCAGGGCCTGTTTCAGCGCAGTGGGGACCAGCTGGCCGAGGAACGGGCACAGATCGTCTGGGAGTATGCAGGGGACCATCATGTGGCCGAGGCCTTAAAGAGGCTGCGTAGGAAGAGGCCCCCTCGGCAGAAGCCCCTGGGCCCCTCGGTACACCACTGCAGCCGGCTCAGGTAGGCCATGGAGCATGACAGGCCCGCTCCTCCACTTCCTGGCTGGTGTGGCCTGGAGCCGCTCACCTGGCCTCCCCGTGAAGTACCTGCCATTGGGGTTGTTGCCAGGCCCACACAGTGCCCACCATGGGGTTGGCACTTAGAGACTGTTACTGCTGGAGTCACCTAGGACCCTGTGAGCTCCCGTGGGAAGGGGTGCCTGGGTCCACCCGGTGCCACATTTCAGTGATTCTGAACCAGGAGCGAGGGAGGGACTGTGGTTTGGAAGGGGAAAAAAAAAATCCTGTTTACCTGTTGTTGAACAGGTAACATTCAAAAGTAAGCTGGGTGATAACCTGAGCTATGGGACTGCTGAAAACATAGCATAGAAGGGTACCATAGAGGCATCAAAGGTTAAAAACTGTGGAGAAACTTCACCTGAAATTTACCCCAGTCCTTCACCTCTTTGCTTAGGTCGCTGCCCACTCAGGAACAGCAAGCCCTCAAGAGACCAAGATGAACCACATAGGTGGCCTAAGCAGTCACTCTGTGTTACGCTCTGGGCCCACAGTCAGAACATTAGAGCTGAAGAGGCCTTCAGAGGTCATCAGGGCCAGGGTAGCAGATCAGCTTTGTTGCTCCTATGAATTTCAGTTGATCAGTAATCCTGCTGGAGTCATCTTAAGAAGGCTACTTGCCCTCTGGTCTTGTATCAGGACAGGATGAGGAGGGTGGAGAAACACAGTTTTCTAGATCACCCCCTGATCTAGTCCAACTCCCCTTAAATAAAAGCAGTCTGAAAGCTTTGCCTTGTCATGCAACTCTCTGGGGGCAGAGATGAGACCACAGCCCTGGTCTCATTTGGCTCTGAACAGTGTGCTTTAATAGTTCATCATGAAAAAAAAAAAAAAGTTCATCATGACCAAAATCTCTTCAGTCCCTGTTCTCTTTCCCATTGATGTTGGCTTAACATGACTGTTCCCTGCAGAATTGCAGAGCCCTGTGCTCCACCAGCCGAACCACAGAGCAGCGCCACAGAGACGGCTTCCAGTGAGCAGTATGTGAACTCTAGGAGGACCAGTGCCCGGATCCGCCGGAACTGGAGGAAGCCAGGACCCACAAGCTACCTCCATCAGATCAGACACTGAGCCGGGGAAGGGGCTGGGGCCGGCTGTATCTTCCCCAGGATTCACAGAGACTTTTGCCAAAGGGCTGGGGAAGGCAAAGAAGAAAGAGACAGCCTCACAACAGCCTCACTGCTGCTACTGGCCTGCTTGGGGCAGAACAGGCCCGGAGGCTTCCACTGAGCTATTATAGGGGTTTCATTCCTCACCAGACTGAGGAAAACAGTGCCTCAGCCCTTCTCAGTTTAACACTATGCCTGGGCTGCAGAATAGTTCCCTGGGAGTCAAGTGACAGGCACTCTGACGCAGCATCCCACTACTCCTGCTACAACTGTGGCCCACGGTCTAGCAGCTCGTCCCACACCCTTGCCCCTTCAGGCCAGCACAGGAAAAACGTAGTTCAAGTGGCAAAATAAAACCATGTGCATCGAGAGTTATGTGAGTCTGTCACGCAAGGGGAAGATCTGGAAATGGACACTCTGGAGCCGGGGGTGAGGCTCGGGTTCACTGCAGGGAGGGGGCAGTTCCCAGGAAGGAGAAAATAGGGCTGGCCTCCTGGTCCGAGGAGAGGAGAAGGGTCTTTGGCCCCTCACCAGCTCCTATTACAATCAGAGCTGCGTAGTGGGCAGCGGGCCCTGGGTGGGATGAGTGCAGTCAACGCAGTGGGTACTAGCTCCTCAGCTGCCCTCTTTACCCCTGTGAGCACCAATCATGCCCTTTGCGTTACTGAAGTTTCCTGAAAACCCGTGAGGTGAGGAATTCTGGCTGCTGTTCTGGCTTTGGCTCAAAAGAAGGCATTAGCATTTAGCTTCCCTCACACCCCTCCTACCTGCTTGATTATCCTCATTTATCGCAGCCAGGGTTCAAATTGCTCCAGGTGGACAGGGATGCACACACAGCGCAGGGCTGCCCTCTTGTGGTCAAGAAGAAAAGCCAGTCCACATTCCTTATCCCAACCCCTTGGGGAAAGATGATTTTGGAATTTAGAATTATTTCAGCTTTTAGAAAGTAAACATTGCAAAAACTGTAAAACTCCTATCAAAGGAACATCTCAAAACAAAACACTAATATTTCTGCAAGAAATATTCATAGTAAGAAAGATATATGATGATTATAAACAGCTTTGCATCAATCAATGTAGGTTCAGGTCAGGTGTTGATGTCAAATGGGTTAAAACCATATTTTGGGAAATGAGAATCTGTACCTTCCTCTACTAGAGGAAAATATATTCAAGAGCCATGTCTCAGCAATTCCATGGCAACACAGGGTTCTCTGTCCTTAAAAAGGCTTCCTACCTTGTCTTCTTTCCACCAAAGAAAGCTAGACAAAAAAGGTCGGAATTGGACTTGTTATTCATACATTTGCATTGATTTAAATACATTACATATACAATTTCTACAGTGCATTAGAAGAACAATACAGAGGCAGCAGCACTCTCACAGCCCAGCCTCCACTCCCTGACACTGGGAGATGGGACAATGGCTGGCAGAGGGCTGGGCCAGGCAGCTCCGTGAGGGCCACCCAAAAGCCTGCCCTGGCACTCAGGGCCCAGGCTCTCCCAAAGTCCACATTCAAGGCAACCTGAGTACAGGCTTCAAGGAGAACGGATGTGGGCCAGGAAAGGATGCCCTGCACTTTCACCTGCCAGGACTGGGACCAGCTCCCTCTTACATTGGACCCAATTTCCTTTGCATCCCAGAGCTGGTCTGGCTGAGGCAATGTGCACATCTCCTCGGTGGGAGAAGCAACCAGCCGTTTAGACCACTCAAGTCCTCTCCACCCCAGGTGGGGCAATTCAACAACACGTTTATAAACAGATGTCTGTGGAGAGCTAAACATACCCTGGTCCCCTCCGGCCTCTGGGAGCCCTGCTGCTCCCAAGTTCTCACAAACATGGTCCCCAAGGCCAAAGTCCAGGTCAGCTCCATGGGATTGTCAGGGCTGGGGTTGGCGGGGAGCAGTGCCTCTTTCCACAGGGCGTGCACACCCAGCTCCAGAGACTCTTCTGTTGGCGGGGTGGAAGCCCAGGATAAGCTGGCTCCTGGGGGCATAATGTATTGGAAGGGGACCAGCCTGGCCCAGCTGACGAGAGGGCTGCACACCTCCGCTCTGCTCTCTGCAATAGCGGGAGCTAGGGAAGCAGAGGGAACATGGCAACAGTCCCCACTCCTTTTCTTTGGTTGGTTTTCAAACCTTCAAGATAGTTTCTTTCCAAGGCTGACTGACCAATCGCAGGGTGCCAGAAAGTTGAACCATCCAGGGCTGCCCCATAGCCATGGGTGGCACCCTCTGTGCTCCCCACTGAGGCCATTCTTTGCTTTGGTGTAGAAAGGGCTCGGACAGCTGGTAAGGGGGAGAGTTGAGGGGAAAGAGACGTGGAAGCAAGAAGATGCACACTGGGCCGGGCAGGCACTGGGGACAGTGGGAATGCCTCTCTCCTTAGGGCCCCACCTTTCTCGAGAAGCCATAGAAAAATTGGCCTGGAACAAGAAGTCAGGGAGGAAAGGGAAGCTGCTAATTAGGAGGCAGAATACAAGTCTCACTGCCTCCACCCAGCAGCAGTGGTACCACAAAAAGAAACCCAAGGACTTAATATCCTGTCCTCTCATGAGCTAGACCCATCCTAGAACCCTCACCAAGAGACACTCCAGAACCCAGAACTGAACCTATCAAGTGAAAAGAGTTGAGAAAAAACATCAAAAACAACAGGAACAAATCAGAAGACTGGGAAAGTCTGTCATCTCTGGCTAGGGCCAAGGACCTAGGGAGCAAGGAGGGGGTAAGCCCACCCACAGACCATCACAGCTCCCAGCATATACTTAGTGGTATGGATCATGTTTCCATGCTGGGGAGGTAACTTCCTCCCTCCTGCCTTTGCCTGAGTGATAAACAACCTACAGTCCTGGCCTAGAGGGGCTGGGTCCCCAGCTGGGAAGGGAGCAGAGGTGATCTAGACAATCACTGTAAAACTGCTGGGAGTCCAAGAGCAGATGTCCCCCCACTGTGAAAATCATGTCTGGAGTCAACCTATCGCACTGGTGGGAGGAAGATGGAAAGAAGACTTGGCAAGACACAAAAGGGAAGTGTGGCTTCTGTCTGTCAGGGCACTGCAAGTCACCCAGCTGCCTTGGTTTGCACAGTAAGGAACTGTGAGACACCTGGATGTTTGGGTCCATGCACATTTAGGTCTGGATCAGGTTTTGCTATGAGAGGGTCTGGGATTCTACCTGGGTTTTGCTACTAGTACTGAAATTTGTATTTGTATTTTTTCTGATGCAGAATATAACAACGAATAGCAACAGAGCAGGGTGTCCAGGAGGGAAGGGACTTTCCCAGCCTGCCCCCAGGAGATGCTTCTTTCCCGGCATCCGGACGGCTTGCGTGGAGCGCCAGCCCTCCCCAGCACTCAGGAGGGCGCACAGCACACACTGTCCCTCTGCGCATGCTTCTCCCCGGGCCTGGGAAAGCTCGAGGGGGTGGTGAGCAGAGAGGGAGGGCTCTTAAGGGCACTGATCTCCACCGGCTTCTCTGGCTTTCTTGCAACCCGCTCCCCAGGCTTCTTCCCAGCCCAAGTCTCAGACAATATGCCTTTGTCTGCCTCTGAGGCTACCACCAGGAAAAGAACGGCTTCCGACTCTGAAAGCTCTGTGTGTAGGACTCGCTAGAAGATCGCTGGTGGGAACGGGCCGTCTCAACGATCACAGGTGGCATCTGGACGAGGTGCAGGGGACACTTGTTGTCTTTCAGGGCCTGGGTCAGATTTAGGATCTGCAGGGGGGAAATGAGATCAGTGAGAGCAGTGCCTAGGCATCCTGGTCTGCCTCTGAAGGGAGACCTGCAGGCAGAGTGCTCCTATAAATCAATACAAAAATAAACCATACACTAATGGAAAACTGTACCAATAGGCTATTTACTAAAATAAGAATATAAAAGGACAATACACAGAAAATGGAAACCTCTCTACCTTTTTAAAAAATATAAATAAAAATACCTCCTCTTTTTCACCTGTCTAGTTAGTAAAGATACAGAAGAAGATAACGACTCAGAGTTGGGAAATGTTCAGATCGTGGGACAGTTTTTCAGAAAGGCAAGTGGACCATAAAGGCTTAAAAGTGGACAAGCCCTCTGACTCAGCAACTTCATTTTTAAGGATTAAGGGAACAATCATTGACATGCACAAAACACTTAAGTTTCAATCAATACAGTGCAGTATTGTTTATAACTGAAAATTATATAAATGCCCGAGAGTACAGGATCAGTCAATAATTTAAGGGATTAGAAACAAGCAATTAAAAAACATATTCTGCTGGCATGGAAAACTGATCACAATGTCTTGGACAGAAAAGAAAGGAGATAAGGAACCAGTATTAGTGTGACCCCCATCTTTATTTTCTAAAATCCTATTTTCTTATCTACAGAGGAAAAAAAGTCTTAAAAGGTTGGCAGTGATTATTTTTGGGTCAAGAAAGGTGACCTAGAGATAGAGTGATTTTAGTTTATCCTTATTTTCTGATTTTCCTACAGACTATGTATTTAAAAAACTAAAAGCCATTTCAGTTGATCTCTACCTCTCATGCCGTCATCTTTTTTTAATAAATTTTTACTTTAGAATAATTTTACACCTACAGAAAAGTTACAAAGATATATACCATTTACCCAAGTTCTCCTAATTTGATCATCTTCTATAACCACGGTACCTTTACTAACACTAGGAAATCAACATTGGAACATTAGTATTAACCACACTCCAGATTTGATTCAGATTTCACTAGCTTTTCCAGTACTGTTCTTTTTCTGTTCCATACCACAGTATGTTTGGCTCCTCACAAATTTTTGTCCGTATTTTACAGATATTTCAGACATGTGAACAGAGGAACACACTTCTTTTCCCTGTCACAATCAGTCACCACCGTGTATCTTCTTGGATAGGAAATAACAAAAGCTGAAGTGGTCCTACCACAGCCTTTAAACCACTGGATGCTGAAGATTTTCACAGCCAGGCCAGAGACACACGAGAGAGGTGGCTGGGCGGCTGCCCCCAGTCACACAGGCCTCGAGCCATAACGATCCTTGACCTACAAATGCTACCCTCAAGAGGCAGAGGTTCACCTGGAACAGAGGGCAGAAGTGGATGCTACCAGTAATGAGCTCCTTTTTAACTTCACTGTTTTGCTATTTATCAGCACCCTACACAGCTTCAAAGAGCCTTGAGTACAAGATCAGGGCAGAGAACTAAGAGGTTCAAACAGAATTAAAGTGCACCATGCCGGAGACCATCCAGCTTATGACACAGGATTTTACTACCTCTCTGGCTGGCTCTTCTTCGGGTTAGAAGCCACCTTTCAAGCACATTTAAGTTTTTAGGGTAAAATGTCAAACTGTCTACAACTTACTTCCAAAAGATTTGGCCAAATGCAAACATACAAAATCTATCTATCTAGGGAGAGAGACAAATTATAAAAGAGATGAAATTATATAGATGTATAGATAATAGATAGATAATATTTAGAGATATGAGATAAAGCAAACATGGCTAATTAAATGTAATGACTGGTGAATCTAGATGACTCCCCTCTTTCAATTTTACTGAGGTTTGAAATGTTCCTAATTTAAAAATTGAAGAAAAATTTATAGCAGGTACATAATGCCAAAAAAGAAATACTGTCTTTGAAGATGTTATCTAAAGTAGCTTTCCCTCAGACCCTGCACTCTTTATCTAACATCTGGTTAGAAGCCTTTATAGTGAGTAACAACCCTATCACCCGAGTCCACCTCTCCTGGGCTCCCCATTCTTTCCCTCTGGCTCCAGGCCACTGTACAATCTACTCCATGATTGCGGCTCAGGTAGATAGAAGGTGGTGCATTCCTTTTACCCATGTGCTAGGAGGAGGAGCTAGACATTCATCCATGACTCATCCTGACAGTTTCAGAGGTAGGCACTCTAGGTTGTAAAATGCCACATGCTCTCAAAGGACATTAAGAGCACATGATGGAAAGAAAGCTAAAATGGCTCTCTCTCAACCCCCACCCCTCTGCCTTTTGCCACTCTAGACAATGGCCTTAACTAAATATAACAAGAGGAAAGTTGCTATGATGTTCACAAGAGATTGGAAAGGGATTAGAGAAGACAGTACAATAGGGACAGAGGTACAGTCTATACAAACTAGAGAAGAAGCTTGTTCCGTTATGCTGAGTTTCACAATACCAGAGTATGTCACGTGGTTTTTAAGATTTCTAACAATTCTGCCAGTCTAACCGGGCCTTTATAGTATTTGAGAAATGTAGGAAGACTACATTATGGTATTCAGGCAGCTCTAATAACTACAGCTATTAAATCCTCTGTCTGGTCCCATTTCTAGAGAAAATGGGTTCGGTAAGCTCAAGAGTTGCCCTTACCAGAAGCCTTTTGCTAAACGGAAGAAAGAGATTAACTGGATAATTATGACTGAGAAAAGCTTCCTGTCTTTCAAAGATGTGAGAAGCTGTATACAAAACCCTAATAAAATAGCTAACTCCTATTGAGTACTTCAATATACCAGCACTACTCCAACTGTTTCCAATCACTGATCTCATAATAACCTTATGAGATAGGTGCTGTTATTAATCCCATGTTACAGATGGAGAAACTAAAAGGAGGAGAGATTAAGTAACTCGACTGAGACCTCATAGCTAATAAATGGCAGAGTCAGACTTCAAATCACATACCCTGACCAGTTTGTGCCCTAACTGCTAGGCTATTCCAGCTGTCTTTAAGACTTCAAAGTGATAAGCAGAATGTCAGTGTCCTTGAGCTTTGAGGAAATTTTCAAGCTATTCTTGGCTCTGCCATGGAAGATCAACAATGCCTTGGTGGTTTCCTTGGTTCTCTTTGAAGATGAAGGGGAGAAATAAGAAATAATGTGGCTGTAACTATAACAACAAAAATTATAACCATGATCAGCATCTGAGTGCTTACCTTGTGCCAGGCATGGTTTTTACTAAACACTTGGTACACATAATCTTATGTCATTCTCTGACCAGCTCTGCAAAGAATGGTAACTGTCCTACTTTATAAAAAGGAAGCAGAAGCTCCTGCCCAAGGCCATGGTGCTGGGGAGTGGTGAAGCAGCAGTCTGACTCCAGAGCCTAGCTCTTAACCACCAGGGCTTACAGCTGCCTTGAGCAACTTGAGGACCCAGACCACCAGCTAAATCCACCAATGAACTATCAAGCAAGTGGCACAAAACCAAGAACATAGTAGGTGCTTCACCAAGTGCCTGATACCATGGAAGAGGTGGGAGATCTGGGACGGCTACCTTTCCTCTCAGGTGTTAAGACAGAGTCACCAGCATGGATGGCACAGACTAAAATGGGTGTGAGATACGACATTTACACACTCACTCAACATGAGCATGTGACCCTCTCAGAGAGACCCCGGGGATGACACCGGGAGGGTGTCCCAGGCTTACCTGCCCCCGCATGACAGCAATCTGCTTATGGAACTGGCCCCTATCGAAACCAGGATCCTTCTGCAAAAGAAGGGCAGAAGGAGATACAAACTGCATGAATGCCTCAGAAGAACCCATTTCCCTCCCCCAACTAGAAACTTTCTAACAAAGAAAACCCTCAGGAGGCTTAGTGATGCTCACCCCAACCCCAATGACTCCCTGTTTCACAGACAGGAAAATAGAGAGCAAGTAACCATCTTGTCCTCAGTTTCATGATTAACTCTGAAGAACTGCAGGCTCTGGGGCTCCATTTGAGAAGGAGAGTTCTGTAGACACACTGCAGCCACATGATGCACAGGACACAAACCGGTGTGATTCAGCCCAGCTGCCAACTGTTTTCAAACCAACCCAAACTAGGCCCTGCTGTCCACAGGGAGGAAACCTTGCTCTCCACTGGCTAACACAAGCCAAAGGGTGTTTCCACTCTATCTTGGCTTGTATCAGGACCAATTAGAAAAACCGCTGGAATTCTTTCTTCCATATGGTTTTAAGGCTAAGGTTCCCAGAGCTAACCTTGAAGAGTTCATACAGATCCTCCTCCAAGTCCTTGACGAAGTTAGGGTCTGATATCTTTGGAAGAATCAGATCTTTAATCTCCTGAGAGAACTGGACTTTTGCCTGGGGCAACCAGGCCCAGTAAAAAGGATCTGAAAAGAAAAAAAGTCAAAAGCAAAGCTGGTGTTGAAAAAGTCTCTGTCCAGCATGTCCTCCACCTATAAGAGCAAGGGTAAAGTTGGATATCCCTCTTATTTGAAATACAACAGAAAATTAAAGGTACAGGGGTTGCTAACCCTAAAGGTTAAACAGTTAAGTGGAGAAACCAGGATTCAAACCCAGGTCTGCCTAATCCCTGAGCCTGTGCTCTTTCCCAGACATTATATGACTTTTCAAGATGCAAGCCTATCTAGAAGCAATTATCAATGTTTGCCACTGAAACATTGAGACGCTCCTTCTCAAAAGACAGACAGGTACTGCAAAGGGACTAGTGATCCCCTACTTGTATCTCTTTTTAAAGGTTTCTCAGTTATAATGGGGCCAAGGGTTGGTTTCCAGGATGTTGACAAGGAAGACAGAACAGGAACAGCAGCTTATATTTAGAAACACAAATAGAATAAATTACGGTAAGACAGTCTTCAGAAAGACTAAGAAAAATGCAACGCAGAGATGTGAAAACTCAGCTCTGTGCTTCTGATGGTAATAATGTATGGGAAAAAGGATACTAACAGCTTCCACTGTGGAGTAGTTGCCATGTGCCAGCCACTGTGCTCAGGCGCTGAGCTGCATTATTCCATTAGTCCTTAGAACAATCCTGTGATAGAGGTATTATTCTCTTCATTGCACAGATAGGAACACTGAGAAAGAGCAAGAAAAGAGCCAGACCACAGTGGTCCTGAGACTTACATGCCCTCCAGGAGTCAGGATGCTTCAAAGGGAAAGCCAGCCCATTATCTATGGCGGCCACCTTGATAACAGGCTCCTTCACCACCACCCAGTCTGTGTCCTGAAGAGCAAGGGAAGATTAAATATTTAGGGAGTCCCACCTTCCTCCAGCACTTTAAAGTAGCAGCAAAGGCTCCCATCTCAACCTGCTCAGGCACCAGTCCTTACTCAATCTCTGAACTGGTTTCCAAATTGTTACCTGGACTTAATATACTTATGGCACTTTGATTTGGCTAATTCAAGGTTCTCAGAGTCCCTTTCTCTTCTTAGAAAAGGTACACTTCCTCAAAAGTTGTCACAGTCCTTGGTAACACAGGAAATGACAATAACAAAGGAGAACTATAAGCCATTCCTCCCAGGGAAAGGCAGTGAGAACCCTAAGTGTCCAAAAAAAAAAGGACAAAAAGTTGTGTCTGACTCTTTGCGACCCTATGGACTGTAGTCCGCCAGGCTCCTCTGTCCATGGGATCCTCTAGGCAACAATACTGGAGTGGGTTGCCATGCCCTCCTCCAGGGAATCTTCCCAACCCAGGGATTGAACCCAGGTCTTCCACACTGCAGGTAGATTCTTTACTGTCTGAGCCAGCAGGGAAAACCAAAAATACTGGCGTGGGTAGCCCATCCCTTCTCCAGGGGAGCTTCCCAACCCAGGGATTGAAGCGGGGTCTCCTGCACTGCAGGTGGATTCTTTACCAGCTGAGCTACCTAGGAAGCTCATTAAAAAAAGGAAGACTGGAAATAGAACTGCCATATGACCCAGCAATCCCACTTCTGGGCATACACACTGAGGAAACCAGATCCGAAAGAGACACGTGTACCCCAATGTTCATCGCAGCACTGTTTATAATAGCCAGGACATGGAAGCAACCTAGATGCCCATCAGCAGACGAATGGATGAGGAAGCTGTGGTACATATACACCATGGAATATTACTCAGCCATTAAAAAGAATTCATTTGAATCAGTTCTAATGAGATGGATGAAACTGGAGCCCATTATACAGAGCGAAGTAAGCCAGAAAGATAAAGACCATTACAGTATACTAACACATATATATGGAATTTAGAAAGATGGTAACGATAACCCTATGTGCAAAACAGAAAAAGAGACTCCTATGTATAGAACAGACTTGTGGACTCTGGGAGAAGGCGAGGGTGGGATGTTTCAAGAGAACAGCATTGAAACACGTATATTATCTAGGGTGAAACAGTTCACCAGCCCAGGTTGGGTGCATGAGACAAGTGCTCGGGCCTGGTGCACTGGGAAGACCCAGAGGGATTGGGTGGAGAGGGAGGTGGGAGGGGGGACCGGGATGGGGAATACATGTAAAAAAAAAGATACACTATGGTTGTGATTAAAAAATAATAATAATAAATAAATTTAAAAAAAAAAAGCAAAAAAAAAACCAAAACAAAACAAAAGCAAAACAGAAAAAAAAAAAAAAAGGAAGAAAAACCAGTTATATGTCAGTCAATATAGGTCCTTTCATGTGGACCTTGACTAAGTGGCCACATCACTGGTGGTGACATTTTCCAGCAAGATACAAGAACCATGGATGATAACAGCTGGTTGCACTTGCACAACAGAATCTGTTCCTCTGCTTCACTGAGGCATTAAGAGGAAAAGGACAAGAGCTGAGTGCAAAGAGAGTGGAAGAGGCTGCCTGGGACAGTGCGTGTCAGACCCTCCCATGACTGTGTACTTGGCTCCGTGCTCAGGTTAACTAGTGCCACCACAGAACAGGGCAGGTGGGCCCAGGATACCGGTACCAGAATCCTCTGGGATACCTTACTAAAAGTGTGAGATCCTCAGTGTTACCCGAGATCTAATGGAGGAAAGGCTTGTAGAATCTATACTGTTTTTAATAAAATCGTCAGATAATTCTGATGTACAGAATTTGAGAACCACTGACCTTACTGTGGGAAGCATTTTGCAGTATATATGTGCATCAAACCATCACAATGTACATCTTAAACTTGCACAGTATTATATATCAATTATATCTCAATAAAGCTGGAAGGGGAAAAAAAAACACTAAAAAGAATAAAAGTCAATCTTACTCTCCTTCTCCAGGTGGCCTTCCTGCTAATTTTTAAAAATGCACAGGGGAAGTATGGTGGAATAGAAAAGCAATGAGACGGTAAAGAAAGTTGTAGGAAGCAGCTTTTTCTAAACTGACATTGTGTGGAATTGCAGGCTTGTGAGAAAAGCATTCCATGGTCAAAGGTTTAGAAATCACCAGGCCAAATGAACTCACCCAGCTGCACTAATGCATTAGTTCTCAGACCTTTACTATGCTCCCACACAATGCGAATCTTCAAAGAAGGCACAAAGAATGCAACAGGTTCCACATTTATTGAACTTTTCTTTGTTCTATCTCTATTAATATCAATCAGCAGGATATTCCTTAAAAAACATATTGAGGTGACAGAGGATGAGATGGTTGGATGGCTTCATGGACCCAATGGACATGAGTTTGAGCAAACTCCAAGAGATAGTGAAGGGCAAGGAAGCCTGGTTGGTTACAGTCCATGGGGTCGCAAAGAGTCAGACATGACTTAGCAACTGAATGATGACTACCAAATCTTAACCTCAATTTTAAAGACGTGTGCTATCCTGATTCCTCTGAACTTATGTATCACACTATTATGTGCTTCCATATTATGCATATACCCCACCTCATCCTCTCCTTCAAAAAAGATACAGATTAACCGCTTACCCGAGAGTTAGAACTATCCATTGGACAATCGTATTTGATCAGCCAGTTGTCATTGCCTCGATCTGTGAACAGAAATATGAAGTTAGTAGACAAAACTGGAGTGATTTTCACATTCAGTAGTGGTGAAGTAGACATTCTGACACGTGAAAACCAATCATACTGTTAAGAACAACTATAAAAAATGGACAAAATGTTTTAAAATTTCTTGAAGGCACTGGAGATTTTATAAGACTCTTAAGAATTAGACTGTCATGATCTGGGCGAAAAAGACTCCAGAAAGGGGAGTCCACCCTCCATGGCTTCTTTTTTCTTACAGCACCTGCTGCTGATTTGGAAAGAGGTGGTTACGAGGCTGAGAGGTAGAACAGTGTGCTAACAGCCCCAGGGAGCTAGCGAGACAAAACTGCGGCCTGGTGACTGACAAGGAGGAGGAAACCCTGATAGATCGATCATCCATGCTCTGCGCTGAAACCTAAAGGGCTAAACCTTGGAAGTAAGCATAATTTCTTCTCAATACCTAAAATTAATGCGATGCTACGTTTCTGATGACCCCAGCAGCTTACCAGAGGTAAACATCTTCTTCCAGACAGGATTGATACCAACACCCTTGACCTCCAAATAATTCTACAGTTTTTGATATGCAGCATCTGACACTTAAAAATAAGAAGGTATACAGAGAGACAAGAAGACACAAAAACAAAGAAAACAACAGAAAATTCAAACAAATATATAGGGGCACCAAATAAAGATACAGGCTCTGAAGTGTTCAAGATAAAATCCTTAATACGTTTAAGAAATAAGAGTATCAGCAGAAAACAGTAATCTATAAAAAAGAATCAAATAGAAATTCAGGAAATGAAAAATATAGTTACCACATGGACAACTTCCTTCTCCACAGAAGCCATGGGAGCACAAAGATTAATTAAATGTATTTTAAAAATACTGCTGAAAGAAAATAATTGCCAATCTCAAATTCTATGTATAGTAAAAATATCCTTCAAAATGAAGCTGAAATAAAGACATTTTCAGACAAACAAAACAGAAAATTTGTTATCACCAGACTAGTACCTCAAAATAACAGAAGTTATATGTGAAAAACCCAGAACAAACATTATATTCAACAGTGAAAGATTAAAAGTTCCTGCTCTAAGATCTAGAGCAAAGGAAAAATGGCTAATATTACCACTTCTATTCAACATAGTATTGAAAGAACAGAGCAACAATGCAAGAAAAGGCATCTGCATTGGAAATGAAAGGTAAAATTATCTCCATAGATGATATGTTCTTATGCAGAAAACCCTAAAGATTCTACAAAAAACTGTTAGATCTAATAAATAAACTCAGCAAAAGTCAGGATCAGGATACCAAGTCAACCACAAAAAGCAGCTGCATTTCTACTCAATAACAATGAACAATTCAAAATGGAAATTAAGAAACAAACCCATTTATGATATCATCAAAAAGAATAAAACACTTAGGAATTAGTTTACTAAGGAGGTAAAAGACTTGTATAATAAACACTATACAACATTGCTAAAAGAAATTAAAGAGACATAAATAAATGGAAAGACACCCCATGTTCACAGATTGGAAGATTTAATATTGTTAAGACAGCAATACTACTGGAAGTGAACTAATCTAGAGATTAAATGCAATTGTATAAAAATCCCAATGATGTTTTTTGCAGAAACAGAAAAACCTATCCTAAAATTCATCTGAAATCTCAAGGGACCACCAAAGAGTCAAAACAATCCAGAAAAAGAGTAAAACTGGAGGAATCACATTTCCTCCAAAACTTACAAACTGATTACAAAACTTACTACAAAACTATAGTAATCAAACAGTGTAGTACTGACACAGAGACAGACCAATGGACTAGATTACAGAATTCAGAAATAAACCTTTGCATATATAACCAAACAAAGTTTGACAAGGATGGGATGACCATCAGCAGGCTACAGTCCACACAGTCTCAGAGAGTTGGACACAACTGAAGTGACTTAGCACGTATGGAAAAAGCACATGAAAAGATGTTCAACATCACTAGTCATTAGGAAAATGCAAATCAAAACTACAATGAGATACTACTTCATACCTATTAGTATTAGGATGGCTACTATATACATATATAAAGTATATATATTTTATAGTATATATTTATATATACTCAGAAAATAACAAATGATGGTGAAAATGTGGAAAAACAGGAACTCTCATGCACTGCTCTTGGGAATGTAAAACGATACAGCTGTAAAATGTTTTCTATACTATGGAAAACAGTATAGCAGTTCCTCAAAAAAATCTAAACACAGAACTACCATTATGATATAGCAATTTTACTTCTGAGTACACACTCAAAAGAACTGAAAGCAGGGTTTCAAAGATATCTGTACACCCATGTTCACAGCAGATTTATTCACAATAGCTAAAATGTGGAAGCAACCCAAGTGTCTGTCTACAGATGAATGGATGAGTGAAATGAGGCATATACACACAATAGACTATTATTCAACCTTAAAAAGGAAAGAAATTCTGACACATCCTACAGTATGAAAGAACTCTGAGGCTATTATGCTAAGTGACTAAGCCAGTCACAGGATGAAAATACTGTGTGAGTCCACTTGAATGCATGCATGCTAAGTCACTTCAGTCGTGTTCGACTCTTTGAGACCCCATGGACTGTAGCCTGACAGGTTTCTCTGTCCATGGGATTCTCCAGGCAAGAGTACTAGAGTGGATTGCCATGCCTTCCTCCAGGGGACCTTCCTGACCCAGGGATCGAACTAGTGCCTCTTACATCTCCTGCATTGGCAGGCAGGCTCTTTACCACTAGTGCCACCTGGGAAGACATGAGCCCACTTAGATGCAGTACTTAAAGACAAAACTGCCCAGTACTAGGCCAGGCTACCACGAATGACTAGGGATCAAGGATGAGAGCACTCTTTGTGCTGCTTTAGAAGAGGCAAAGTGTCTTCTGTATGAGATTGGGAGAGAGGCAAAGATGAAACTTAAGTACTCGCCGCCTCCGATAACTACACATGATGTGCCTAGACAAAGCTGGTCTAGAAAAAGTATTTTCAGCACCCTCTCCAATGTGTATAACCCTTCTGTCTTATTCAGAACTCATCCTGACAGGGTACTGATACCAAGCTCTGCAAGCAAGCCTCCATGTCTGCCCTGTGGCTCACGGAGGCCAGGCACAGGCCACAGGTCCACCCAGAGCTGCTCACCAGTGTTGCGGATGATGTAGTCCAGTACCACCAACCGCTCAAACTGCAGGAGCAGCTGCCTGTTAGTGTTCTCAGGAAGGGGTTCTGCTTCAAAACGCCGTAGCCAGTAGTCTGCATCTTTGTAGCTTTCAACAAAGAGCTGGAATGAACCAACCTGCAACCAAAAAGGAAGAACAGAAGAAGTATTTCCCCACAGCCCAAGTCCAAAGATCCCAGGAGTAAGCCAGGTACCCACTAAGGCCCTATAGAGTTTATATTAGAAAAGGGTTGTGATAATATTGCTCATCCAAATTCAAAAGGCGAAGTTAAATGGTCCAGAGGAGTAAAGTAAGAAAGTTATAGTCTCTATTCTCTGGAGAATTACTCCTCAAATCTTAGGCCCTTGACAGAAATGAGTAAGACTGGTGCCTCAGGGCAGGCTATTCAAGTGTCCGAAGGGGAGTCTGCAGACACCTTATTTCACCACTTGGATGGTTATGCCATTATAATCACCACCTTTGATGAGCCACCTAGGTGCAGTCTATACCTTTGGCGGTAGCCCAATGCGGTTAAACCGCTGTCCAACTTTTGGCACTTTCTCCAATGCAAGCCGCTTGCCTCTGGACTTCACTCGGTCAATGGCACTATAGTTGAAGGTCTCACTGGCCAGGTACACTACCTACAATGGAAACAGAAGAGATACCAAGGTTAGAATGAAGTTTAAGGAACTATACCCATATGGCAGAGAATAATAGCTAAATGCTCACCAGTACTGTTCCTCTTCTGCATATGGAAAGGATGCATTTCTCAGCACTTCTAACTGGTAGGAGAAAGCATGTGACTAGTTCAGGCCAATGCAATGTTGACAAAGTGATGTATGCACATTACTTTCAGGCCTGGCCCCCAAATTTCCCATGATCCTTAGTTCACATTTCCCAATATGTGCAGCTGGAAGAAATGAAGGGCTCTGAGATGGTAAAACCACATCATGGAAGGATCCAAGATCTCTTGTGGGTATATAAAGTGACGTGGATCTAGGAGAGCTGCCTAACTGGCATGGATCTTGATGTGAGCAAGAAATAAACACCTATCGTGTTAACCACTGCAATTCAGGGGTTGTTATAGCATCTAGAATGAATTATGCTGACAGGACAGCTAGCTCCTGGGTTAGGAGAAGATGGTCCAGGGTCTATTTTCTCTCTAGATAAAAATAAATTGCACTTTATTCCATACCTTTTTATTTCCTGTTGAATTTTATACTGTGTACAAAAATTTACATTTAAAAATTAAACAAATGTTAAAAATGGTTTTAATTTTTAGACTATATCTGGAATATTAAGCAGGAAACTAGTAATACCATCTGCCTCTGAGGAAGGAAACCAAGTGGCTGGAAGACAGGGGTGGAAGAGAAGCTGCATTACTCTTCTTTGTTTAGGTATGTGGGTGTGCTCAGCCATGTCCAACTCTTTGTGACCCCATGGACTGTAGCCCACCAGGCTCTTCTGTCTACGGGATTTCCCAGGCAAGATTACTGGAGTGAGTTGCCATTTCTTTCTCCAGGGGAACTTCCTGACCCAGGGATCAAACCCAAGTCTCTTAGGTCTCCTGCACTGCAGGCAAATGCTTAACTGTTGAGCCATGAGAGTGGGTTTTTTAAAAAATCTATTATGCCTTCTAATTTTTGCACTAGATGCATGCATTACCTTTAAAAAAATTTTTTTTAATGGGCTACAATATTACACTTGATTGTCAAACTGCAGTGATACCACTATAATTCATAATCCATTTGGACATCCATTATCACACTTAACCACACTGTCTCATGATAATCCATATCTAACTTGTTTTTTAAAACTAATGAAATGTGGAGTGGATGAGAACATCTTAGTTACATTAGCATCCTGAGTACAAAACAGTGCCTGACATATGCCTATTTATTAAGTGAATGAATGAATGAGTTACAAGCTTCTTTTAGATAGCACTGAGTTTTAGTATATAAATACCAAAAATAAAATTTATAAGAAAATTTTTTCTTTTCCTAAGCCTTGTAAAATTCATTACAAGTAACTAGTTATTTTGCCCTTGAACCTTAGAGATAGCATAAAGTAATTCCCTTCCTCCCATCCATCCATCCAGTTTTAACAGGGTACCTAAAACAGATGTGCCAAGATGTATTACAAGTTAGCACTTCCTGCCTTACAAATCTGGAAACATGGCACAAGAACAAATGGGAAAAAAGGCTTTCTTAAGACTACCTTGCCAGTTTCTATGACGAAAACCCTGTTCTCAAGACATATACCACACTTTCCCTCATCAGATTTATTTCTGATCAATTTTTGTAACGAACCACTCTTTCCCTATGACTAATGAAACTCTCATAACCTGAAACCTTGTAGGAACAGAGAGCAGAGATAGTGATCAAGTGAGAATTAGAGCCTTATTATTTGAAGCTCTAGCACAACGTAAGCCCTGTTTCCATAGTGACAGATACTGTGATCAACTGGATAGAATGCTGTCACAAGGGTGGGGAGGCAGGAAAGAGAGAGATCTCTTACTATTCTCCAGCAGCCATTATGTTAAGCTTGCAAATGTATGTTAAGCTTGCAAAGTTCTGTCTCATCTCAGTCTCATGGAAGACAAGGTTTTTTGTTGCTGACTTTTTGATGCAAAAGATCCTTAGGCCTCATTTAGGTTCTCTAACAGGAAAAGAGGAAGACTAGAGATGGGGACGAACAGGATTATGGGGCGTGGCATTAATGATTAGAACAGTCATAAAAATAGCACAGGCAAAAATGTATGGAGTGTTTACACTGTGCCAGGTGCTGGGCTACATATTCCACATGGATTATCTTGTGTAGTATCAATGGCCACCCTATCAAGTAGGAACTCTTTTTTTTTTTTTTAACTTATTATTTTGGCTGCACTGAGTCTTCGCTGCTGTGCTTGGGCTTTGTCTGTTGTAGTGAGTAAGGACGACTCTTCCTCGCAGTGCTTGGACTTCTTATCGCAGTGGCTTCTCTTGTTGCAAAGCACAGGCTCTAGGGTGCATGGGCTTCAGCAGTTGTGGCATACAGGTTCAGCAGTGGTGGCTTACAGGCTCTAGAATGCAGGCTCAGAAGTTGTGGCACGTGGGCCTCATTGCTCCGCAGTATGTGGAGTCTTCCCAGACCAAGGATTAAACCCACATCCCCTGCACAGGCAGGTGGATCCCATCCACTGCGCCACCAGGGAAGTCCAAGGAGGAACTCTTTATATCCCTATTTTTATAGTGAGGAAACCGAAAGGGAGAGAATGCGGGAGTGTCTTAACTCACTTGCCCAAGGGTTACTCAATAAAGAGCTGCAGCACCAGAATTTGAACTCGATCCCTGATTCTTAGGCACTGCACTGAGAAGCACAGGCAAAACAGACAGGCAAGGGGCCTGGGGGGTCTGCGACTTACCCAGCAAAGGAAGGAGATTACAGTGATGAGCAAGGAGTACTGAGAAGGATTTCTAGAGTCTAGGAGGGGCCTGCTGGGAGGATTTCGGGTTAGGCAGGAGATCTTAGGAGCATTCATCATCATATAAGATGTTCAGTGTGCTGTTTCACTCTATGCACACAGAGAGAATGAAAGCGCGAAGGGAAGGAATGCACTACACAAGGCCAGGCAGTGATGTAGATGTCAGATGGGAGCTACAAGCCGGGAACTACAATCAAATGTATCAAACATTCACTCCACTGGCCTGAGGTTGGGGGATCTCTGTCACTGTTCTTTTTTCATGGTTTGATATATATTCACTGATTCAGCTGGTATTTAAGGAACACTTACTAGAAGTATGGTATTTTGCTAGGTGCTGAGAATGAGAAAAGGAAATTTAAAGAAGTTTTCCCTGATTTCTACTTCCTTACAAATTAGTTGGCTTATTTGAAGTTTTTTGGCAAAGGAGCAGACATAGTTAAACATCCACAACTATCACATTTTCTTGTAACATACCCTGGGAAAACAGGAAAAAACAGATTTGAAGGGAAGCTCCTGTCTACTGATTAGGCTCTTTGCCCACAGTCTGCTGTCTAAACCTGCAAAGAAAACCTCAAACAGGTGCTTTTAATCTAGTTCCTGTGGGTCAAATGGTAGATTTCAATTGGTCCATGAACCATCCTCTTGAAATTATAGACAGTAATTGCAAATATGTATATTTTTTGTGGGAACAAAATTTATAGCTTTTATCCAATTTTCAAAGACAATTTTTATCCAATTTTCAAAGACCCAGACAGAGGTACAAAGATGGCCCTGCAGCCATAGTGCATCAGACCAGAGCTCTACCTTAAGTTGTTACTAAATCTCAGGGAGTAGTATATTAAATGCGTGATGATGTGCCCTTAGATGTTCATATGCTGACCAGAAGATTTCTTCCCCTCGGAACCCTTGGAAGGTTTCATGAGACACCCTGTAGCAGAGTGGTTCTTAACCCAGTATCAGTAAACTTTCTGAAACTGCTACAATCAATTCTATATTTAAGCATGTTTTTGAAAGGAGGTGGGAGGTATGGTCCAGATCCTGCATTAGAACTTCAGCTAAGTCTTATAACACATATAAGGTATGTACAAATCCATTCTAAGTGTGGATTTGCCTAGATCTGGGAACCCGATTTTGTAATGTTCAGACAAGCACCAAAATCCATAGCATAAAGATGGGTGAGGAGAATTCCTTGTCAGTTCCCTGTAGGTGTTCAGGCCAGACCTTTACACTAACCCTCAGCCAACCCTAGAGTCCTACTTGCCAGATCTCACATCAGTGTTTAGCTGACAATCAGCTAATCCATTGTAGACTGTATCTAAATCCTGGAATGGCTCAGAAATCTCAGAGTGAGCTATAAAAGTAGCTAGGTTTCTAACCAGCTTGCGGTTACCTGGGATCCAAAGGCCCAGGGAGCCCATACATATGCATCAGAAGGGAACCTCCTGAAATTGTATGCAAAAAATTTATGTGTATCCTTCTCAGGACAGCTTCCATCAGATGATCAAACTATAAGCCTGCACATACCACTCCCCACCTGAAAAAAAAAAAAAGGCTGAGAACCCTAGACTCAGGGCACCAATAGCCCTTCACTGGATTTAGCAGTCCCACTAACATGCAGCCAGGGCTTAGGCCCAGGAAAGCTCTGGCCAGGCAGAAAGGCAACGGGAAGACAGGTCACTGGCCTTTGTGCGGGGCACGATGTTGAGTTCCAGCTTTTGGTCCACCAGGCTGGCCCCCGCCTCTGAGAGGTAGCCCTGGTTGAGGACAAGGCAGTCGCGGCCAAAGCAGCAGGGGCAGCACAGCTTTTGCAGCCACTTGGTCCACTTGGGATTAAGTTGCCCATACGGCTCTTCATTCTTGGGTTTGAAAACTGCGATGATCTTCTAGAGACAAAAGGAAAAGGGTGTTAAAGGCAAGCTCATGCCAGTGGCTCACAGACCAGGTCGGCAAGACTCTGGAAGGAAATGAGAGGGCACAGGCAGACAATCCCTATGGACAGTTAGACACTTCCCTTGTAAGGGAAGACACCAGCTCACATGCGCAGCTGAGAATAACGCTGCCAGACAGGGCTGTGGCCAAAGAAGATGCCAATCTGGTATCGATAGTACAACAGATTTTAACACCATCAAACCCCAACTTCTAAGGTACATTAATAGTCACTGTTGCTCTGCATCAATTAAGGAAAGTAGCAACTGAAAGGAAATCAGTAAGGTATTATGGAATGAAGTTAAGAAAATTCTTTTATCAATGGCTGACTTCCTCTATCAGCCTTACTACCCCCACCCATCTTAAAATAACAAGTTTAGGAATGACAAATTAAGTAAGCAATGGAAGAGAAAGATCACAGCAGGAAAGAGTCTTCTACCTGGTTAGAATGGGTTCTTTTAAGTAATTCTGATAGGCAAGAGACCAGGACATGAGAAGCCACAAAGATTAAGATCCACCTTCTCTAGCAGACAATAACTTAATCCTCAAAGATCCTCACACATGTGGGATGCTGCTGCAATCTAGAAACTAAGGCCTTCCCTCCTGAAGGCTTTCCTTCCCAAACCAGTCAGCCCCCTTAGGTTGTTTTATATTTATCTCATTCCCTCCAGTCCCCAAACTGATACTTTCAAAGAAAGAAAAGTAAAGTAAATATGCTATTCAAGTAATTCATCTTAATAGCATATGACTCTCCCTCTCCCCTCAGCCCACAGCCAACTCAAGCTAGTCTGGGCCATAAGACATTCTCCTGTGGGTCTCATTTCCTGAATGGCCAGTCACAGCAAAAAACATACATCCATCTGCCTGCATTATGTAAGCATTCATATTAGGAACTGGCTAGGCATATGTCTGAAACAATAACTGGTCAATCTTGAGGGCAGTCCCTTCAAGAAGCCTTGCAAGAAGGCAAGAGAAAAGAAGCACAAAAGAAATCAACTGATTCTTAAAGATAAACTTATTCACTGGAAAAAGTCAAATGCCAGAACTATATCATTATCCAAAGTGGCTAGGAAGAGGCCTCTTTTGGCAATCTTCCTCTCTGTCTCCACACCCCTGGAACCCTGGGCTCTGAATCACATAGGAGCAGTAGTAACTGGCTCAGCTAGCAGAGAATGACTTTTGACTCCACCGGAACTCTCTGGAACCTGGGCAGTGAAACCACAGGACAACTCAAGGCCCATCCCAGAACCCACCAGTCGGTTCGCTGAAGTACAATGTGGAGTTCAGCAAGCTGGTCCCCAGTGAAAGGGAAACCAAGACTATTAGCGGGCTGAAAAATACCAGGACTGAGGCTTAGATACTTCCACTTAAAAAAAGCAGAACTTGGGAATTCCCTGTTGGTCCAGTGGTTAGGACTCCAAACTTCCACTGCGGGAAGCACAGGTTTGATTGCTATTCCTAAGATCCCTCAAGCCGCATGATCCCTCAGCCAAAAAAAGAGCAGAACTTGAAGGCCAAGATTGCAGACAAGCATCATTTATAGACCAACCTCTCTAACTTCTCAATTTCCTTCCACCAAAAGGAGAATCAGAAAGCATTTCATCGACTCTAAAAGCATTAGTCATCATGATTCTCTCAGTGTAACAAGGGTTTCATTAAATAATAATGTCTGGCATGCACAAATAGGGGAATAGTGGGGGGCAGGAAGGATGGAGGAACAGAAGGACATTCAGACAGAAGGGGGACAAGTCCCTTTCAGGACTAAGTGTTGCTTCAGTTCACCTAGTTGGCGCAATACAGCGTATCGGCACTCTGGGTTTCCTAGAGAGACACATAAAGCAGTGTCTGGCCTAATTTCCAAAGCTAATGTTAACTTCACATAATCAACTGTTTGTTACTGAAGACTCAAGAATATTCTCCCAATTCATAAAAAACAAACTCTAAAACCACCCACCATTATTTGATTGAGAAAGAAAAAAATACTGCCTAATTCATTTCACCATACTCTCTCTTCTTTAATAAACTTTCAATTTCTTTTTACAAGCAGCAGAAAGCTTCAGTTTGATGTCAGTATTTTAAAAAACACCCTCCCTTAACACCCACTTACTAAAATCCCTTTTAACGAAGGGGTTAACATGCAGGTAGCTCGATTAGCAGTAATGCATGAAGTTGAGGATAAAAACAGCAGTGCACAAGAAAGCAACGGGGCTTGGCTGGGGCCAGACCCACAATTACTGAAATCTGAAACCCAAAGGGTTTTCTGAATCTATCCAGCAGCTCCAAGCAGCAGTGTACTAGGCTACAAGAAAATCTAAGACAACTCAAGTACATCACTCATATTATATAGTGAAATATGCAGAAATAACACAAAAGTTTTGTGTGTTTTTTTAAAGTTTGGTAAATACAAAGTGGATGGTTCTCAAACTTTCTGGTTTCAGGATTCCTTTAAACTTTTAAAAACTATTAAAGACCCCCAAAGCTTTTGTTTACATGGGTAAAATCTATATTTGCTGTTATTAGAACTTAAAACTAAAATGTCAAAAATATTTAATTCACCTAATCATAAAAACAGGCCAATTACATGTTAACATATGTGGCATGTTTTTTTGAAAACGAACTATATTTTAAAAAACAATTTTTAGTGAGAAGACTGGTATTGTTTTACATTTTTGCAAATCTCTAATGTTTAGCTCAATAGAAGAAAACTGTATTCTTACATCTTCTTTAATATTCAATCTGTTTCAATATCACACATCATGCAACCTCTTGAAATCTCTGCTATACACTCATAAGGAAATGAGAGTGAAAAAGGTAAGTCTGTATTCTGTAGAGGCTGGATGGAAACAACACTTTTTGACTTAACTATTTAGGTAGAGAAGCCTGATTTACATGTTAACTCTTACAAAAGAGAGGATGGACTACTCCAAATATGTGAGACTCTGAAAGAAGATGGGATCCAAATACAATGTAATAAAAGAGATTCAGCCTGTATTTATTTTCCTGTTTACTGCTATCAATCCAACCTGCCTCACTGATTATAACTTGGGGCTTGGGACAGCTCCCTATAACAGATAACATGTGTGCTGATGATGCTTAAAAATCTCCAAACTACATCTATGTATGGTATATAAACATGACTGCATCTTAACATTTTAGTAATAAAAAAGTTACTCCGGGGGCTTCCCTAGTAGCTCAGTGGTAAAGAATCCGCCTGCCAATGCAGGAAACAATGGATTCGATCCCTGGTCTGGAAAGAGTCCACATGCTTCAGAGCAACCAAGCCCGTGCACTACAACTACTAAGCCTGTGCTCTAGAACCCACATGCTACAACTACTGAAGCCCTAGCCCTAGACCTGTGCCCGGCAACAAGAGAAGCCATCACAATGAGAAGTCTGTGTACTGCAATGAAGAGCAGCCCCCACTCACCACAACTAGAGAAAAGACTGTACAGCAGCAAAGACCTAGCACAGCCAAATAAATTAAAAAATATATATATTATTTTTTTTAAAAAGTTACTCTGAGATCCTTATTCTTTATTTGGCTATTAGTGTCATTCTCAACCAAATGTAAGGACATCAAAATTTCCTGGAAGACACAGGTGGCTGGAAGAAACACATTCGATATTACAATATAAATTTATATTTGAAAAATGGAAAATAATACTGTACTATTTTCAAGACAAACTCTTGGTGAAGAAAGTATTTTTAAAAGGCTGAAAAGTACTAATATAAGGCCAAGCTCCTAGAACATGTGAGAAGTATCTATAGAACTGCTTTGCAAATACCACTCACTTAGAATTGTCTAATGAATTACTATCCTAAATAGGAATGGATCCTCTTAGAATTACACTACTTTTGCTTTATTCAATGCCATGTATCCAAGAAAGCCTAATCCAGAGGTCAGTCGGCATGTAACTTAAAAAAGAAGCAAAACACTCTGAACTCCTGCTAAGCACCAGGAACTAGGCCAGGGGCTTTCATATGTGGTATCTCATTTATTTGTCCAAATAAACTAGTCAGTCATATGCTGTTCTGTGATCTGGCAATATGAATGCTTAGTATTACTAGCCACTCAAAACAGAAAATGCTCAAAAAATACTTTTGTGAGCAGCCTGACACCTGAAACACAAGGATGTAGGTGAGGAGGGTAACCTGAGCATTCTACCATGACTCCTGATCCAGCATTTTCCATCTTACTATTTCAGGTCCGTACTTGCTCATTCTGAGGAAGAAACCATTCTCAACCGGGAAATGAAATCAGGGCTGTTATCTTCAAGAACCTTTCAGATTGTCCAGCTCCAAAAGTACCTGTGGCAGAAACTGCTGGTTCCGCCAATCTCTGTTCCCTCTTATTCCTCGGGCACAGGCCCCTAATTTTTAGCTGGACAAAATAAAGACTTTAGTTCCCAGTCACTAACGAAGCTCAGTTCTGGACAACGGGATATAAGGAGAACAGTTCAATGCAACTTCTCGGAAATGTCTTACAGGAAGAGGGTATTCTCTTTCTCCTCCTCTCCTTCTTCCAACTGGCTGAAAAGCAGACAAGACGTCTGTAGTCTGAGCATCCATCCTGGTTCACGAAGTGGAAGCCACATGCTAGGGATGGCTGACCAGCTGGACATATGGATGCATACTGTTTATACTGTCTCCCCGATAAAGGAAAATGCCATGCCAGCTCTAAGTAGTCTGTAGACTTCTTTCATGAGAGTCAAATGTACTTTTATTTAAGTTATTATTATTTAAATATTTCTGTCACACACAGCCAAATTTAGTCCTAACCAATATGGCAGCTGAAAAGAGAAACCAGAGATTCAGATGACTAACTCTGAGGTAGAAGGACATGGTAGTTAGAAGCATGAACTCTGACGCCAGTCTGCCTGGGTCTGAAACCTGCCTTCCATTTAATAGCTTTGAGACTCTGGGCAAATTAGCTGTACTGTGTGTCTCAGTGTCATCATCTGTGGGGACAATGATAGTACTTACCTCAGAAGGTATTGTATTAAATGAATTATTATTTGTAAAGCACTTTATTTTTTTTTTAATGTATTATTTTTATCTGGGTAAGTGTGCTCAGTCACTCAGTAGTGTCTGACTCTTTGTGACCACATGGACTGTAGCCTGCCAAGCTTCTCTATCCATGGGACATTGCAGGCAAGAACACTGGAGTGGGTTGCCATTTCCTTCTCCAGGGGATCTTCCCGACCCAGGGACCAAAAGTCTCCTGCATTGCAGGCGGCTTCTTTACCACTGAGCCATCGGGGAAGCCCTGTGAAGCACATTAAGAGTACCTGGCATACAGTAAATACTATCTAAGTATTTCTAAATAAAATACACACATTTTGAGCAGGCTAAAGATGACAAAATTAACTACAGTTAGTTTGTAGTCTAGTATAACCCACCACAGCATTTAGGAAGTGATCCTCTGCTCTGAACCACATTTTCCTCAGTGGGAACAGACTGGTTACACTAATAAGTTTTGCTTGGTCATATGTATTTTGACTTCCCCTCTAAGAAAGGACAGTGGGCAGAAAATTTGGGAGACTAAGATCCTGCAAATCACCAGAACACATATCCATAGTCTGCTATTCTCCATGGCCTCTGTACTAAGGTGGTAGTACTTTACCTGCCAGGTAGAACTGAGAGATCACGTTACTCCCACTTGTCAGAGCATCAGATCACTTCTCTGCTGATCCAACACAATTTCAGTGTTACAAAGCAGCTGTAACAGTGTCATGAAAGAAAAACAAAAATCTTCCTCCTGCTGTTGTACCTAACAAAGATAATCTTAGCCCCTTCAGCCAACAAGCTAGCAACAAAATAAAAACCATTCATATCTTATATTTCAGTCTGGTTCCTAAATAAAAAATGATGAACATCTCCCTAACATTTAAACCCAAGGACACCCTATCTTTCTTTTCTTCTAGAACTGATGGTTCCTGTTTGAGCTTTCGATTTAACACACTACTCTCTTATCTGAGAGATCTGGAAAAACCTAACTACTCTCAAAGCTTTTTCCCATCTCAGTTTATGTCAACTGAGTTGATGGTGGAAATTCTCTCTGGTTCTTGGTGATAATTCCAGGACATCTGGGAGAATAACTGAATCCAACATGAACCTAACCAAGAGCTACAAGTCACAGAGCATCCTGGCCATTCAGCACTCCTGTCAAAAGAGCACACCACCAATCTCAAGAGTTCACATAAGAGAGATGTAGGGAAAATGTGAGGGAACTCTGATCCCCATCATTTTAATAATAGTATATTTTTCCAGTAAGTCATTCTGGTCCACCTGAGAACATTAACATAGAAGACTTGAAAGGGTTTTTCCAGTGGTCATATATGGATGTGAGAGTTGGACTATAAAGAAAGCTGAGTGCCGAAGAATTGGTGCTTTTGAACTGTGGTGTTGGAGAAGACTCTTGAGAGTCCCTTGGACTGCAAGAAGATCCAACCAGTCCATCCTGAAGGAGATCAGTCCTGGGTGTTCACTGAAGACTGATGCTGAAGCTGAAACTCCAGTACTTTGGCCACCTGATGCGAAGAGTTGACTCATTGGAAAAAACCCTGATGCTGGGAGGGACTGGGGGCAGGAGGAGAAGGGGATGACAGAGGATGAGATGGCTGGATGGCATCACTGACTCGATAGTCATGAGTATGAGTAAACTCCGGGAGCTGGTGATGGACAGGGAGGCCTGGCGTGCTGTGATTCATGGGGTTGCAAAGAGTCGGACACGACTGAGCAACTGAACTGAAAATTTCAAAGACACCTCTAGTTTGATTTGTTGGTGGGCTGTTTAGTCACTAAGTTGTGTCTGACTCTTTTGCAACTCTATGGACTACAGCCCATCAGGATCCTCTGACACGGGACTCTTCAGTCGAGAATACTGAAGTGGCTTGCCATTTCCTCCTCCAGGGGACCTTCCCGGAAATCAGGGATGGAACCGGCGTCCCCTGCATTGGCAGGCAGATTCTCTACCACTGAGCCACCACGGAAACCCTAATCAAAAGAATGAATGTCACTTTTCAGCTGCCCTCCTCACTCCATGTCCCAACTCATCCTCATCTCCCTTTAAACACATACAAGGGACAAAATGAAGGTGAGATAAACACTAGTTCTGGATGAGAAATGAAAGTAAAAGGTAACTGACAGTCCCATGTTTCTCAAACTTTACATTCTAAACTGAGGAACAATAAAAAAGGATTTGAACAATTTCTCAGAAGTGAGCAATAACCAGGACAGATGAAACTGATGAGTCCAGTCAATCAGCAACATCTGCCAACAGGAGACCTGGGTCGGTGGCAGAATACATCCCCACAACAGAGAAAGCTGGAAGGGAACCATCAGAGCCCCTGATGGGTCACCGGTCCTCCAGGATGAACAGTGACCACACTGATTCGGTCCAAAAAGAAAGGACGGGCTTAAAGCTCAAATCAGTAAGTAAGTAGCTGAACTAATGTCTGTAGTTTAAAGCTAAGGAATCTACTAGAAAGCAGCATCTCCCTGCACGTCTCTAACCAGAGGCCAACTGCCCCACCACACCGCAGGGGCCCTCGCCTATATCTGGTCAATTTCCTCTTTTCATTTTCCGCTTACTCCTCCCCTACCAAATAAGTTCTGATTTATTTCTTCATTCCGCAAAGCTTCTCCATCTCCAGTTCTCAGGGGCATTCCAAAATCCTGCCCACGAAGCTCCGCACTGTAGTTTTTTCCTTTCGCAGCCTTTCAAAACCCCTTCTCGCTCTGACTGTGCGAAGCCTCAAACTCCCCCGGACAGGTCCACCCACCCCGAAGACGGCGGCCGCAGTCCCCAGCCCGCTCTCACCCCCTGAGGGTCCTTGACGAAGTAGCTTCCGCTGGAACCCTGATAGATGCGCTCGGGGAAGATGCCACGCTCGATGGCCAACTCGGCCTGCCGCACCACCGCCTCGAACTCCGGGTCCTCCGGAAACTCGTTCCGCTCGCGGTGGGCCTGCGCGGCGTGCGCCGCCGCCGCGGCCTGGGCCGCCAGGGCTTGGGCCTGCGCCGCCACGGTTTGGGTTTGACCCTGGGCCGCCGCGCCCCGGGCCCGATCCAGCAGAGGCTGCCGCTCCCGGTCGTGGCCTGGCGAGCCCGGCGGAGAGGGGACCGGGCCGGCCGCCGCCGCAACGCGGACCGCGCCCCCCGGCACCTGCGGAAAGTGAGCGCTCGAGCCGGACGGGAAGGTATAGTCCGGAGGTTGCGCCCGCTCGGGGGACACGAGTGGGCTCGTCTCGTCCATCCCTCAGGCCGCGGGCTCCGGGACCCGGTGCGCTCCACACAGCTGAGTTCCTGCCCCGGACCAATCCGCGAAACTCTCAACCCTCTCCCGGCCAACCAGGTCCCGGTGCCTCCTTGACCCCGCCCCTACCTTCCCTGTTTACTTGGCGACGAGTAGGCACGACCCCTCGCGCGCAGACTGTATCCAATCAGAAACAACGCCTACGCAATCCCGTCCTCCGCATTTTATGCCCGTCACCTTCTCTGAAGATTGCGCATGCTCCAGGAGCAAGCTTCTGGGTCAGACACGCCCCCTTTCCCTTCCGGCACAGCCCCGCCCTTAGCTTCCCACTGCTGGCTCTTATTTGGCAGCGAACAAATAAAGTAGCCTACCTCAACAGTCCTTAGGGATTTAATTTAGGTCATACCTAAATGGTCTAGTGGTTTCCCCTACTTTCTTTAAGTCTGAATTTGGCAATAAGGAGTTCATGAGCTGAGCCACAGTCAGCTCCCGGTCTTGTTTTTGCTGACTGTATAGAGCTTCTCCATCTTTGGCTGCAAAGAATATAATCAGATTTCCTTGTTGACCATTTGGTGATGGCCACGTGTAGAGTCTTCTCTTGTGTAGCTGGAAGAGGGTGTTTGCTATGACCAGTGTGTTCGCTTGGCAAAACTCCATTAGCCTTTGCCTAGCTTCATTCTGTACTCCCAAGGTCAAATCTGCCTGTTACTCCACGTGTTTCTTGACTTCCTACTCTTGCATTCCAGGCCCCTATAATGAAAAGGACATCTTTTTTGGATGTTAGTTCTAGAAGGTCTTGTAGGTCTTCATAGAACCGTTCAATTTCAGCTTCCTCAGCTTTATTGGCCGAGGCATAGACTTGGATTACTGTGAAATTGAATGATTTGCCTTGGAAACGAATAGAGTTCATTCTGTCGTTTTTGAGATTGCACCCAAGTACTGCATTTCGGACTCTTTTGTTTACTATGATGGCTACTCCATTTTTTCTAAGGGATTCTTGCCCTCAGTAGTAGATATAATGGTCATCTAAGTTAAATTCACCCATTCCAGTCCATTTTAGTTCACTGATTCCTAAAATGTCAACGTTCACTCTTGCCATCTCCTGTTTGACCACTTCCAATTTGCCTTGATTCATGGACCTAACATTCCAGATTCCTATGCAATATTGCTCTTTACAGCATGGGACCTTGCTTCCATCACCAGTCACATCCACAACTGGGTGTTGTTTTTGCAACACTCTAAGTCAAATCCCTAACGATTATACAATGGAAGTGGGAAATAGATTTGAGGGACTAGATCTGACAGACCGATTTCCTGATGAACTATGGACGGAGGTTCATGACATTGTACAGGAAACAGGGAGCAAGACCATCCCCAAGAAAAACAAATGCAAAAAAGCAAAATGGCTGTCTGAGGAGGCCTTACAAATAGCTGTGAAAAGAAGAGAAGCAAAAAGCAAAGGAGAAAAGGAAAGATATACCCATTTGAATGCTGAGTTCCAAAGAATAGCAAGGAGAGATAAGAAAGCCTTTCTCAGTGATCAGTGCAAAGAAATAGAGGAAAACAATAGAATGGGAAAGACTAGAGATCTCTTCAAGAAAGTTAGAGAGACCAAGGGAATATTTCATGCAAAGATGGGCTCAATAAAGGACAGAAATGGTATGAACCTAACAGAAGCAGAAGATATTAAGAAAAGGTGGCACAAATACACAGAAGAACTATACAAAAAAGATCTTCATGGAGAAGGAAATGGCAACCCACTCCAGTATTCTTGCCTGGAAAAATCCATGGACAGAGGAGTCTGGCGGGCTGAAGTCCATGGGATTACATGACTGAGCATGTGTGCACGAGGGTGGAGGGAGATGGGTTGGTAGCAATAAACTGGTAGAACTAAAAAAAAAAAAAAAGATCTTCATGACCCAGATAATCACGATGGTGTGATCTCTCACCTAGAGCCAGACATCCTGGAATGTGAAGTCAAGTGGGCCTTAGGAAGCATAACTACAAACAAAGCTAGTGGAGGTGATGGAATTCCAATTGAGCTATTTCAAATCCTAAAAGATGATGCTGTGAAAGTGCTGCACTCAACATGCCAGTAAATTTGGAAAACTCAGCAGTGGCCACAGGACTGGAAAAGTCAGTTTTCATTCCAGTCCCTAAGAAAGGCAATGCCAAAGAATGCTCAAACTACCGCACAATTGCATGCATCTCACACGCTAGTAAAATAATGCTCAAAATTCTCCAAGCCAGGCTTCAACAGTATATGAACTGTGAACTTCCAGATGTTCAAGCTGGTTTTAGAAAAGGCAGAGGAACCAGAGATCAAATTGCCAACATCTGCTAGATCATCGAAAAAGCAAGAGAGTTCCAGAAACACATCTACTTCTGCTTTATTGACTATGTCAAAGCCTTTGACTGTGTGGATCACAATAAACTCTGGAAAATTCTGAAAGAGATGGGAATACAAGACCACTCACCTTCCTTTTGAGAAATCTTTATCCAGGTCAGGAAGCAACAGTTAGAACTGGACATGGAACACAGACTGGTTCCAAATGGGGAAAGGAGTATGTCAAGGCTGTATATTGTCACTCTGCTTATTTAACTTATATGCAGAGTACATCATGAGAAACGCTGGGCTGTAGGAAGGACAAGCTGGAATCAAGATTGCCAGGATAAATGTCAATAACCTCAGATATGCTGATGACACCACCATTATGGCAGAAAGTGAAGAAGAACTAAACAGCCTCTTGATGAAAGTGAAAGAGGAGAGTGAAGAAGTTAGCTTAAAGCTCAGCATTCAGAAAACAAAGATCATGGCATCCAGTCCCATCACTTCATGGCAAATAGATGGATAAACAGTGGAAACAGTGGCAGACTTTATTTTGGCGGGCTCCAAAATCACTGCAGATGGTGATTGCAGCCATGAAATTAAAAGACTTACTCCTTGGGAGAAAAGTTATGACCAACCTAGACAGCATACTAAAAAGCAGAGGCATTACTTTGCCAACAAAGGTCTGTCTAGTCAAGGCTATGGTTTTTCCAGTAGTCATGTATGGATGTGAGTTGGACTATAAAGAAAGCTGAGCGCTGAAGAATTGATGCTTTTGAACTGTGATGTTGGAGAATACTCTTGAGAGTCCCTTGGACTGCAAGGAAATCCAACCAGTCCATCCTAAAGGAGATCAGTCCTGGGTGTTCATTGGAAGGACTGATGCTGAAGCTGAAACTCCAGTACTTTGTCCACCTCATGTGAAGAGTTGGCTCACTGGAAAAGACCCTAATGCTGGGAAAGATTGAAGGCGGGAGGAGAAGGGGACGACAGAGAATGAGATGGTTGGATGGCATCACCGACTCAATGGACATGGGATTGGGTGGACTCCGGGAGTTGGTAATGGACAGGGAGGCCTGGCGTGCTGCAGTCCATGAGATCACAAAGAGTCGGGTACAACTGATCGACTTAACTGAACTGAACTGACGTCATCAGTCAGTCACTCATTTCTTGAGTACCTACTATGAGCCAGCTGTGAGATCAGGGAACTGTGGTCTTTGTGTCTGAGTCATTCCATCATGTGCTCATTCATTAAATATTTATTGAGCACCTACTGTTTTCAAGAGAGCCAGGAGTGAAGCAAAGAAACAAAATCCCTGCTCTAAGTAAAAAAGTTTTTAAAAATTCCAGTCCTCATGCAGTTTACACAATGCATGACTCAAATCTCAGTGCTTATTAATTGAAGAAAAATATGGTACCATTAGCCTAAAAAATTCTGAGATCAGAGAAGTAAGAGTCCATGACTTCTTTTGTTCATCACTGTGAAACCTCAGTGTCTAGACTTTGTAGGTGCTTTGTACATTTTTATTAGTGGAAAAGAGAAGGACGATACCGTCCCTGCCCACAAGCTGAAGACCACAGCTCTCTGAGGCAGTAGAAGAAAAAGAGTTACTAATGAGTGCTGGAAACTCCATAATAGGAGTTCAGCAATTTCGGGGTTGACTGGAGAGTTAGCAAAGGCTTTCAGTTCAGCATGTGCTATGAGCTAAGTCTTAAAGGAAGAATGGAATTAGATCACTGGGGGGAGGGTACTGTGGGATTAATCAGTAGTCAATTTACAAAAGAAATGGAAAATTTTATTTGATCCAGCCTGAAGATTATAACCTTGGAGAGGGTCTCTCAGACAACTATGAGCACAGTTCTGAAGAGGGGAGGGGAGGGGAGGCATGATTTTAAGGAATAGGTAGTGCAGTTAAGCACACATCTTGGTAGAAGTTTACTGCTATTCACAAGGAACAGATATCTTACTTAATGTTTGATGAGGGTGAAAGAGGAGAGTGAAAAAGCTGGCTTAAAACTCAACATTCAAAAAACTATAATCATGGCATCCGGTCCTATCACATCATGGCAAATATCGTAGGTCAGTGACTGCCGTGCCTAATGACTTGATTCCTGTAGGACTGAATGGTGCGTAATGCTCTTTATTTTACAGACCCTTCTCTTTTGGTCTTAATTTCAGCCAGGGCTTGGGAGGCATTTTGTGACCAACTTGTCCCATGGCGTGCTGATTCCCAGGTCAGGTGAGAACTTCATTCATAGGCCATTCCATGTGCTATTCCTAGACTAGGCTCTGTTAACAGTAGCCCAGAGTCTCTTGACCACCTGTCCTACTTGTCTGTTGTGGTCCAGGAAATAGTTCCCTTTTGTTGTTTCTTCCCATATCTAGAGTTACACTATTACATCATTGATCTTATAGGACTATGTATCTGGTCAGTCATTTCAAGTCAACTAATCATCATTAATTTTACTGGAGACTCAGTTTCACATTTCGTAATGCGAGAAACAATAATTCCATAAAATAGGCAGAATACAAGTAACAAAGCTAGTAACATTAGTAAAGTCATAAGTAAGTACTTAAGCTAAGAACTTCTATTACATGGAGCCTAGTATCTCCCCAGGTGGTCGAATCAGTCTGTTCTTCACTAATTGTTATTGTTAAGGGAAATAATAT